TAGTACTATGTCTTTTTAACCCCTCATTACCCCTTAGTTAACTGTAAATGTTTGTTTGTTTTTTTAATTCATTTACTAATACCCTTCTTGCCTTACCTACTTTATACTGACATTTTGTTCACGTGAATACCTTTACAATTTTGTTTGCTTGTCCTTGTAGCACTGCATTCAAATAATTTTTATCAAACACATCATTTTGGGATCTATAAAAAGGGAAAATTGCAGAATAGCAATCACATTTTGGATGAGTCCTTAGTTCCCAAATGGAAGAACGGTTTTAAGGTCATTTAAATCCTGGCTCTGTTTTTCCATGCAAAACTAACGTGATTGATACCAGATATTATCTTGCACCAATAGTTACTGACTACATAGTTATGAACTAAATCACACTAGTTTATCCAAATCATACCCCTCCCCACCATCCTGTTCAGTTTCTTATGGTTGTCATTTTTGCATCAGCCTGGCTACCTACAGATCCACCCATCTCGGCTTGGCTAGGAGAGCACACTTTGGCATCTTAGTCGTTAATGCCAGTGGACCTTGTCCTGTCTCTGAACGTGACATAAGGATCATATAAAGAAGTTAATTCCACCCAAAATCCCCCAACCATTGTTAATAAAATACTGTTACACTGCTATACACTGCCCCAGATCTAGTATATGGCCTGGGGTTTCAGGGTTTAGGAAGGGACATTACACAGCCTTTGGGTTCTTTGAGTTTTTCTTCATTTTGAAAGTATATATCTTGGCTTTCATTCATGATTCTTTGATTATCTTTATCCATTCTAGGTTGAGTGAGACAGGGATGAAGTCTTAAGTCCTATGTCTTCGGAATGGTCTCCTTTGCACTGCAGATTGAGCAAGCCTCAGGTGGCTACTATGAGCCACCATCTTCAAGAGCAGTGGCCCCAGCAAACAAAAAACTGTAAATCCAGTCACACTCTGTAGTTATGGCTCTTCTGATGCCTTTCTTATGTGCATGGTCCTTCTCACAGCTTAAGCAATGCTATATGTGTCACTGGAAGAGAATGCTAGAAGCAGCTCAGAGTCACTGATGACAGTAAACAGGGGAAGGTATGTGGGGACCTAAAACTGGATCCTGGAAGAGTGTGGTCCATATGAAACTTTCTATGGATGCAAATGAAAGGGTGAAACCGGGATTTGTATTTTTGCTCTCCTGTTACAATACCTAAACATGAAGAGTAAGATCTGATGACAGAGCGTCTTTAAGTAAATGTATGTTTGCTGTCCTTTATAATATCTAAAGGAGATCACATCTAAATAGTGCAATTGCATTGTAAAGTCTGTGGCCACCATAGTGCTGGACACATACCTCAAATCTCTTGTTTAAATCACATTTTCTTACATTTTATATAATATTTTCATTTTTGCAGAATTCAACCTAGCCTTAGTATATTGTGCTATCCGATTGTAGCATGTGTGACCGGTGTATCAAAATCCTGAAATGTTAAAGCAAACTCTAGCAAAAAAAAAATGAATGCCTCATTAAAGAGAAAATAACAAACAATAAAACTCAGGTTTTGCTGCGCTACTCATCTTCAGTGCAGAAATTTCCCCTGCAGTACTTCTTTTCCACCACTAGGTATCCTTAGTTTAATGGGCACATCATTCAGCACACTTCCTCTAATCCCAAGCCTGTGTCTGGACAGTAAAGCAGAAGCAGCGCACTGAAGAGCTCATCTCTCTGGCACTCTGCTTTCTCTTTCTAGCAGCATGCTTCTTGTCAGCACATAAACTGATTGATATTCTGTGTTGCTTCTTCCTCTCTGCTGTACAGGGACTGCAAAAGGCTGATTCCAGATTTAATTCAGGTATGTACACTGTTTACATTTAAAAAGCACATTGAGGGATCAGTAATATATTTGTGTGTTGCAACAAATCAATGGGTTGCTTAAGGAACTAAAAGGCTCTAAAGAAAAGGTGAATGCACTATTTGTAGCAATACAGCAACACCACAACACCTAGTAGTGCATTATTGTGCATTGTGTTGGGCTGCAATGCAGGTGCATTGGGGTGCAATTCAGAGTAAATGTCACCAAAGCGCACTAAAGTGCAAATGGATTTTGAATAAGGTATTAATGATTACAGAACTGCACTAGTGTTGGTCTTTTATATTGGCCTAGACTTCAGCTTTAAAGTAAATGTCCACAAAAAGTATATTTCCAGCAACAGGGTAGACCTCGCCTGTTACACAAGAAGAGCCAAAATTCTCATAATAATCAGCTTTTCTGCAGCAACATAAATTACAGTCTTTAGTCTTGCTCAGTAGCTTTCCACAGCTCCTAAGACGCTCACCACACCTCTGTGTGAAACGCGCGCTGCCCCTCCCTCCCTCGTGAGCCCTCCCTCCCTCCCTCCCTCGTGAGCCCTCACTCTGCTCTGTCAGCAGGGTGTCCAACAGGTCCTAGGGTCACCGACCTTCCCGCCCTCTCCCAGCCTCCCCTGGCTGTTCCATGTGTGTCCAGCACGCACCTGAGTCTGCTGTGGCCTTGTGCCTTTTGCACCCACACAACTCTCCACACCACTCTGAGCACTGGGCTGGCTTTTTAAGGAGGCTGCTCTCAGCCACCTGATCAGCCCAGGCTGCTCTCAGCCACCTGATCAGCCCAGGCTGGTCATTGGCAACACCTGGCCCCAGGACTAGAGATTTCCTCCCACCCAGAGCTCTAAGAAATCTCCAGAGCTCCAGATCCCATTTCAAATTCTGAAAACCTGGAAGTATTATATAACAGTTGTCCAAGCTATAACAAAGGAGGACACAACAAACAAATTATGTATATTGGAAAGAGAGGGTAGGGAACAACCATGGGGGAGGAAAGGAAAGGGATAGGTGGAAGAGATGGGAGAAAGGAACCTGACCTAGGGAGTCTATACCAGGCTGAGAGAAAATACATATAACGTGGGGGGTAACAAAATCACAGCCTCTTTTGGAGGTCGGACGAATCAGTAAAATGTATCCAGAAGGACCACTGAGCAGAGAAGTGATTTAGGGTATTAGTATCAGAAGCTAAATGTTCTTCCATACACTTACTGTCATTAACAGTACTGACCGATAATAAATAATGGGTAGTAGTAGTAGTAGTTTATTTTCCAGAATACAGTAGCTTTCTAGAATACAGGGATAGTCTGGCAAGCCATATCCAAGAACTGTCTTAATATAATCTGTTTCTGGCTCTTCTTGGGGCCCAGGAGGATGGACAAGAGGGCTACTTCAGGGGAGGGTGTTAAGGTATATATTGAAGATACTAAACCAAAGATACTGAATCAGGGGACATTCCCACTAGATATATAGGTATGTACCTATTGCCTCTCCAGCAAATATCTGGCGTGTTTGCAAAACTGTGATCCAGAGAATTGGGGTCTATGCAACATCTAGTAAGAATTGTATCATTCTTAGTATATTTTCAAATATATATCCTTTTTAAGTCGAATGTAGTATTTGGAAAATACCTCAATATTACATTCAAAATATCAAGGATATATACTGTTCATTTTGCCTCCATTCGCATCAGAACAAACGCTCAAAGTCCCTCAATCCCTCTCACAGACGAACTGTCCCTCTTTTTGGACAGATGTGTAGACCTTTGCTTAACCTATTACGCCAACCTATTTATTGTCTTATTCAGATTTTTAAGAGCCTTGCAATGGAAACATTCCAAGACTATTGCATTTGTGGGTTATGCCAAGCATTTTTGCTCATTAATTCTTCATAATCCACCTAATTTTGCATGGCAGATTGTGTGTCCTTTGCCTACACACTTTGTGCTAAAGGGTGTCCCTCTTTCTCATCTCAGAAATTTGGGAGGTATGTTTATGTCTTTTATTTATGGCTGAAGTACAACTTTAATATACAGTAAATTGTAGAATTGATTTGTCCTGTGCGTGCACTATAGTCCGAATTCACCATAGAGAGGAATAGTGATAAGTACGCACTCACTGCTGTGTGTTCTCTGGTCTTTAACAGGCATCAATCTGCATCTATACAGTAAGTCCTTATATGTTTATTTAAAGACTAACCTGTAATTTTCTCCTAGTTCCACACAATCATCAATGTTTTCCAGTGTTACATTACTGATTCACAATTTACTCCCCCCTACTGACAACTTGCTCAAGATACAATGCCGCATGTTTGATTTCTGCCCCCTGTCAATATTTGTCTGGGATGATGATTAACTAGGGGTGATTGCAGACCACAAGGCTGCTGCCCACTGGAAGTGCTGAACTACATCAATAACATGCACAGGAACGCTGACTAAAGACCCTACCTCAAGACCCTCCATAGCACTCCCACCAAGGTATGTGATGGCTTCCATCTAATCGGCAAATTCTGTGATAACAATCCTGGGGGTTTAAGGAGACGGTCTTGAGCATGGTTTCCCATGTTGGCACAGGCATATTAGGCTGCCATTTATTCCTAAAGTTTATAGATATATAATTATATGTATCTACTTTGGTATACATATAGACTTATTTAATAAAGTAGTACAGAAAGGAATTATGATGTGCGGATTTTAAGAACACATACCATGCAATGTCCGTTAGTGAAAGATGAATTCTGATTGGATGCTAATGGCATTGTACTTTGTACACTGAGCTTTGCCTTATACTAATGTATATCATTACCTGTGTTCAGGGAACTGCTGATCATTGCTGAATGCTTTCAAGTCTTGGCCTCTGCTGGTCTTTCATCATTCTACATGTCTAGATGGCATTTTCTAGTGACCATAGTTATTTCTAGGACCTTGCTCTTAGATTTGTTACCACTGACTTCAAATAAATCTGTCATGGGAGAAATGTTGGCATCTGCCATTGCTGATCTCCTTCTAATTATGCTAGGTGACTGACTTTAATAGTTTTAAAGAAGAACTCCAGGCAGAAATATTATTGACCCTTGCAATGGGGCTACCCCATGCACTGAAGGGTTACCTGCTCATTTTTTCCCAAGGGTAAAAAAAACAAAGTCATACTCACCTGATCCTCTGAGCCAGCAGCGCTACCTCCAGCCTGTCCCCTCTTATGCTGCCGCGATGGTATGTCACTTGGCGTCCTCACATGCTATACACTGTATTGGGCATGATGACTTGAGGATTCCTAGACCGCTCCTGGTCCAGGAGAGATGGGACTGGGTCCAGGGACCGATCTAACAGCCGTCCAGCCCAGGGGATCAGGATAGTACAGCTTTTTCTTTTTGACCCCAGGCAAAAACAAGCAGTGGCTGCAGTTTTCTGCTTCATCAGCTTCTTTGGGGTTCCTAGGTGACATTAGGGGTCTGAAAGACCCCTGATGTCTCCATAAAGAAGACCTGCCACATTATATTTGCTATTACATAGGGGGCTTGTTAGCCCAGTATGCAATAGCAATAAAGCTGAGTGTAAAAATTAAAATAACATAAATAAAATAAAAAATGCAAAAAAAATGTTTAAAGTTCGTGTCGGATGCGCCTACATGCAGAAACAAAAATTGCGCCACGCGTGTTACATATCGTTGCGAGCGTAGTGAGAGCAATAATTCTAGTGTCATCAATCACTGTTAGCACTAAACTGATGAGCCGTAAAAAGCGGCACTTTGGGAAATTTTGGTTATTGTTTTTTGCGGTTTCACGGACGCCCGCAATTTTAAGGCTTGACATGTTTGGTATTTATTTACCCGGCGTGACCCCATCTTTTATATTTTACCAACAAATTGAGTATTATATTCTGTTTCTCTGCACTAAATTTCATTTTAGTGAATTTTATCCTAAAAATACTTGTTTTAATAAACATTTGCGCAAATACCGTGCAACATAGAAAATTGCAACTAGCATCTTTTTATTCTGCAGGGCCTCTGCTTTCAGAAAATATATCATTGTTTGGGGGTCTGAAGCTGTTTTCTAGCCAAACATTCAACATTTAATCATGTGTGTGCAAATGTAAGAAATTGCTCCGGACAGCAAGTGGTTAAGTCACTGACACCAAGCAAGTGATAAGTAACAAAGCCAGAGGGTCAGTGACAGTGACAGCTAGACAACCAGCATTTTCAGAATACAAAGGCAATAATGGCAACCTGAATATTTATCTCAATAAAGGTATCATTTAATTAAATATCTACATTGCTCTACTTATTTAAATTGTTGCTGGAAAACACAACGGATCACAATGTCCCAAAGTTCTGGAACAATTTCACAATATGTATCCTTTTTGTGTGTTTTGTAATCCTCACATCCTAAACTTACACAATGCTGCGACATAAATGTTTTATGTGACAGAACCAGCAGTGAGTTAGTATATAAATGAAGTTAGTGTATTCGTAATGCCCAACTGAACCTTAAATCAGCTAGGTAAATTCCAGGGGCAAAATAAAAGATATTTAATGTCTTACAGTCTGTTTGCATTCTAAAGAAGCCACAGTCTGAGAAAAAAGGTTTGTCCCCTCCTAGCATGCTGCAGAGTGGGACCCTTGATGTCGGTGCGGAAGCAGAGGTCTCTCTGCAGAGGTCCAACATGCAGAATCAGACCAACGGCTCTGCAATCAGCAAAGCTCATGCTCCAGTCTAATTGGAAAAGTCTAGATCTCACTCAGCAGAGGGCATGTTGGATTTCTTCAGAGAGACCACTGCTTCCACACAGAGAATAAGAGTCATCTGCAGCATGCTGACAAGACACAGGCTTTTCTACATAGGCAATGGCTGCTTTCTAAATAAACAAATGTAATACTTTCCAGTTTCCACACCTTTTATTTTCATGCACCTAGAATGTATTTCACTGATTTAAGAAGACTCAACAGCAAGATCATTTGATCCTCCTGTCCCCCAGGTAAAATAATGTCTGATGCACTTTGTCTCCTACAGAACCATGCTGCCATAAGAAAGTAAGATCACTGTTTCTGCTGGCTGTCAGCTCCGCCCCAAGCTGAAGCCCAATTTATGGGCATTACTAGGGGAAAGATAACAGCACTGCCTCCTCTTACTTCCCCATTAGCATAAGCCCGCACAGTACCAGCCTGTACTGCTGGGAGATGCTGGAGTGTGCTGAGAATGTGGGCTGTGGAGAAAGATTGTGGTGAGGGACTAGTTGGCCGCTTGTGGGTGACGGTCATTGTCTAAAGCACACACCTGCTGCCAGAGACAAGTGTTGCCACCATGCCCTCTCCTTGCAGTCAGTCAGACCTCATTTCATACTTGGCTCCTTGTGAGTAGTATGGTTGTTTTTGAGTTTTGAGGAGGAGGAGGGGGTGTCCTTGCAACCACACTGGCTCAGCATCCAAGGCACCTATCAACAGACCAAATGCTGCATGCACTATGTCCCCTCGGGGAGGAACAAAAATCCGTTCTGGTGGGACATTTTCTTTAAACTGAAAGCACAATTGGGCTTTAAAGGGCAATATGTTTCTCAGCCCATAATCTTTTGCTGGCTTGTTATGTATAAGATGAAAAGGTACTAGTCACTGTGTGCAAAATCTATGCTGTGCATGTTAAAGTGTCCCAAAGGTAACAGTATTTCCACAATCCATATCCTTGGTTGTTTTTCGAACACAATACTTTCCAGTCAATTCATTGTTTCTAAAATGAAGATGTTACTTCATGATCTCATGGTAATTTCTGATTCTCTAAAGTTTTATAGAAGAAATGTAAAAATATCAACTATTTAGTATTATTTATACACAGCAAGCATTTCAATGCTACTGATAATTACTCTGATTACTATAATGTAATACAAATTCTATGTTTACAGACAGGAACAATGAAAATATTAAGCTACGTGCTTTATGTTACCCTGTTACTGCTTTCCAATGTATCGTGTTACAAAGGTATGATTTAATCATAGACTTAAAGTATATCTAAAGGCAAAACTATTTGTCATAGAATAAAAGTTACAACATCTGTGAGGTCTTTTTTTGTTGACTATGTTCTCATTGGGGAGATTACTCCTCCCATTGTCACTGGGACAGAATGTAAGAGAAAATCCAAAATGAAAGATCCAATCCAGTAGGGATACTTGTTCTGGTAGAATTTCTGATCACTTTCGAGAGCTTTTGTCTTACTTCCTGTTGTGTCTCTGGGAGAACAGGAAGTGGCGCAAAAGCTCCCCAATGGGACATAGCCAGCACACAAAAAAATGTCTATGACCTTATGTCAGTGTTTTTTACTTTCTGCTGCATACCATTATGTGAATTATGATATAAAAGAATGTTAGTAGGAAATACTCGCTACCTGTACTTGGGATCAAGGATAGGTCACAGTTAGCTATCAAACATGCCTCAAGCTTTCACCATCCTCCCACCCTATTAATTTTCACAGGTTTGTTGGATGGGTTTACCTTGCCAGAGGTCAAATTAGCCATGATTTAAGCCCTCAACAGGCCTTGGTTAACAGATTTCTATCTTGATCTGTTGGTTAGGACATACCTTTAAGCCATGACACATGGGTGCCTACAGTTCAGCTGTGGCTATCACTGGTTGGTTGTAGTTAATTGTAAGTTTGTTGGACATTATCATTGCAACTGATATTCATTATTATTTAATAAATCTGTGGCCTTGGCCTTCCAACTATAACAGTGTAGTGTTTTCATGTAGTTCATGGGCAAGGTATGCTTTTCGGTACTATATGAGTTATTATGCCTATGCTTCTTAAAAGTAATGCAATCTTTACAAACCATTCTTATGATATAATGGCAATGAGACTTCCACTTCCTAAATCTAATGTATTCTAAGCCATTGCAACATTCCTAACAATATTTAGTTCACATATATTATGTGTTCACTTAAAACAGTGGTTCTCAACCTGTGTAACCTCAGGACTCACATTTGTCCTTGGTCAGTAAGTCATGACCCAAGTCGCACCGCATTGGAACGCACGGCATTGCGGTACCGCGCGTTCCGGTGCGGGCGATCAAACTGTGGGCAGGAGGTGCGTTTGGGGTGCCATTCAAATGAATGGCAATGCAGCACAACTCCCTCACCAGAATTTGTGGTAGGTGCGATTTTGCATGGTACAATGTGGTAATCGCACTGCACTGTGCAATTAACACTCTGTACTAGTGTGAATGAGCCCTCAAAAACACTGACAGACACACACAACCACAGACACAATCTCACACACTCAGGCATTCTCACACACACATACACACTCCAAAAAGATTTAAGATCCACCCAGTCTCCCTATGTTATCAAGAACTGGGGGGGATCCTCAGGTCCAGTGGGGGCTGCTGGGCTGTGACAGAGCTTCATCCATATTGCCATGGTTCCAGGTTCCCCAGAAGAGCAGGAGACCTCAAAAACCATGGCGGGTGGTGGTGTACAGCAGGGGCACCACTGCAAGTAGAAAACTTGCAGCACAGCCCTTCTAAGGCCCCCCCCACACACACACACACACAGACCCCCCCAGCTTCTGCACTGACAGGAGACAATATGACGGGGAACACTGATGGGCATTATGTGGGCTTGGAATACATAATGTCCATCAGCGTCCCCTGTCATTGCAGAAGGAGAGGTGAGGGTCTGTAGGGGGGCATTAGCAGGGGCTCTGTTGCAAGTAGAAAACCCCCCTCGCCCCCAGCTTTTGCACTGACAGGTGACATTATGTATTGCAAGCCTAGTCTGTTGTAGTAACATTCATTTGTCTTTTTATCACTATTACAAATGCTAATCCAGCAAATTATACACATCCCCCTGCCTGCCTACCTTTCTCAGCTTCCATGCCGACTGATCCTATTTGATATCAATCCGCCGCGCTGGGGTGGCTTGATATCTGCTTCACTCTGTACTGCAGGCCGGGACTTTAACTTTCTTGTCGGGACCTGCGGCTCTTGATATCATTCCGACAGCCGAAAGTGAGAAAATAGTCCCCTCTCTTCCCGGGCCCCATTACTACGACCCACTGCAGAAGGGCTCACGACCCATGAGTTGAGAACCAAGGACTTAAAAGCTGCTAGAGTTGCTGAGAGAACCAAATTCTGGTTACACAAAAACAATACTTAAAATTAGTTTTTGTTCTTACTAAAGTCCCATTTTATTATTTACATAGCAGGACACATAAGAGCTTATAAAGCCATCTACTGTAACTTTTATCCATGTGCCTAATTTCTCTTTGCAATATTTAGTGTTCATAGAGAAGGAGAAGGCACATCATGTGCTGAGGAAACGTGCTAATAAATTCTTAGAGGAAATTCTTCCAGGAAACCTGGAGCGCGAATGTTATGAAGAAACATGTTCAAGGGAGGAAGCTCGAGAAGTTTTTAAATCACAGGAGAAAACGGTAGGTGAAACACAAACCGCTGAGCAAAGCTTAAAAAAAACCTTAGGCTGGATTCACACTGTTCTGTGTGGATGCAAAGCACAAGCTAATGAAAATGTATAGGTGTGAACTAGCCCCTATAGTTTCCCTTTTACACTAAACTGCAATGCATAAATGTGAACCAATACCATAGGGAAGAATTGGATTTCAACTTGATGTGCATTTGCATGCATCCGTTTTGCTGCACTAAAATGGCCAAGCGTGAATAGGTCCTAGTGTATGTAGGACACAAAGATCCAAGAATACCTCGTTTTCTGGATTGAATAAATCAAAGGATCAGCACATCTAAAACTGATGATTTGGATACCGGCAGACAATAGCAAGATAAATCATTTTCTTAATCTCCAAGGGATTGATTTCTGACTTGTTGATTGTTTTGATTCATTTACATTTAGTTAGAGAATAAAGTGTGAGGAGTACAATGTTATATTGGAAAGGAGGCAGAGCTGGAAACTCTCTAAAGAGTCTTCATATGATATAAGAAGCAAATAAGCATAAGCAACCCATCAGCTTGCCCCCATAACTGAGGTAATCTCAATAGCTGTTTCCTTTAATCATTTATTCACATAAAGGCTTTTTTGGATTACTGACTCTAGTAAGGTTGGTAGAAGGGGCCTCCATATACCTGGACAATTTATCAATAAGGGGGTACGTATTGTGAAACAAATGAGTGCAACAGTATGTGCTCCTTGGTATATGTATCACTACAGGATACCCTTCTCTTTTGATTTGTGTACACATGCATTATATTGACCATCCATGACATAGTCTGTGTCTCTTTTCTTATACATTGCAGGCAGAGTTTTGGTATCACTATAAAGGTAAGTGAAGTTACAGTTGTAGCATTAAAGGGAAACTATAATAGTTTGGGGTCATTTTATGTTATTTTTTTTGTTTATGCTTTTAAAATACAATTTTATATGTGTTTGTACTAACTACTGTATTTTCAACCTACGTTTTACAAATATGTGATATAGGGTTCCCTGAACACTGTTGGTAATCCACAGAGACAGCATAGTAGAGCAGCTTGCTTTGCAGTTCCCTTTGTCAGATAGAAACCTCCAGGTTTAGGTTTCCTTCAGCACAGCTGAAAAGCAACCATGCTAGTGATGTGAACAGAAGACAGACAGCATTACAAACCTGACAGAATATATAACTCTTTTGCCTTCAGTACAATTGTACAGTCGAAGCCCAACTTTTGTTAAACCTTGCCCATTCTGGCTTCCTAGAAGGGTGACCTATGAAATAAGGAAATGTTTGTGGAAAAATGCTATGGAGTCAATTGCATTGTTTAAAGTTTATAAGTCTTTTAAACTGATGTTTGAGATATATACTGTAAATACATATATTGAACTTTGCATACGATGTACACTCACGGCAAGAGCTGTTTGCTTTCAGATTGCCTCTTCATTTTGAATCTTCATACAGCCCTCTATGAACAAAGCAGACAAGGAAGGGATGACTCAAAGGGGTTGATTTACTAACCTTATAAACACGCCACGAACAAGTATACACCTCTGTAGTGTGTTCCCTCCCAGCATGATCTATTGGTGGAATCTAGACACCTTTGTAGTGTGTACGTACCCAGCAGGTGTGTTGTGCAAAGCCCTGCATGAATTGCAAGGTGATGTTGTGTAAATTAGCTCTACGTTGTGTTGCTTGCGTTGATGAATGCAGGAATGTAAATGCATGAGCTAACCATTTTTGTCTAAACTGTGAAGCAGCATTATATATGCATCATGTGCATGATTTTTCCATATATGGCATTAGTGGAAATATGCTTTTAGAGACTTGCATGCCGCTATTAGAGCGGCGTGTAGCCTATGGCGCATGCTACATGACGCGCGCGTACGTAAATACATAAAAACGCGCCATGACGGCGTGAAAATGTGACACGTTGCTCGTGTTTGGTTGATAAATACGTTTTGCTGTTTAAAAATGCACACACACCTGGTGCATGCATGTGTTTAGGTTAGTAAATCACCCCAATGACTCATTTAGCTATGTGTGTCTGTGAAGGTTCTCATTCATCCAGGTCATGGTATATATATCTGTAAAAAATAAATCAGGGCAACTGGACATGCTGTATTTTTCTTGAAGACGTTTCACTGGTCATCCAACCAGCTTTCTCAATTCTGAATTGGAAAAGCTGGTTGGATGGCCAGTGAAACATCTTCAATAAAAATACAGCAAGTCCAGTTGCCCTGACTTATTTTTTACAGATATTTAGCTATGTGGGTAAATTTGAGCTTCAGATATTAGGCTTTATAAACAATAGACTTTTTTCAGCAAAGTTGTTAAGATTATTCTGATAAAAATGTGAAAAGAAGTCCAGCTTCACTAACTAAGAAATATGAAATATTCCTATGCATCAATTTATACTATATCTACTGACTACAGAAAGTGAAATGTTTTTTTAAATGTTATTTTTTTCTAAATATTGTTAATAAAAAAATAGATACAAAGACACCTTCCATTTCCTTTTATTCCTTCTTTTATTGTAATTTAACTCCATAAAAAGTCTAAACCTAAAACAAGAATGTACTCTAAAAATGAATCAATGTCATTACTTTTCAAAAAATGTGGGTAAGGTAAAATAGAGTTTAATGAAGAGAAGTCACTCCAATAACACTTAAAAGCAGCCCTGCAATGACAGCATGACATTTCCTACAGAGGAACCAGTATTATACAGCTTTTTATTTATGTGATTTTTTTATGGCGCATCTGATTATCTTAATTCAAATTAAATATATTTTTAGGGAACAAAAGATACGAGAAATGTATAGACTAAATTACATTATTCTTATAGGTTTGTAACTTATTGTATGTTTTTGTGTTATTGTCCCTTTGTAGATCTTAGCCCATGCAAAGAAAACCCATGTCAAAATGGAGCAATCTGCCAACAGTATCATTACACATACACTTGCTTGTGCCCCCCTCTTTATGCTGGGATACACTGTGAAAATGGTAAGTGGACTATTCGTTATCAAAGTACATACCCTAAACAGCAAAAAGGCATACGGAGATGGCTGAAAATTATTGTAAAAATGTTCTACACAACAAAAATGTTACTTCACTCTAAATCATGAGTGTTTAATATCCTTCAAATATTTTGCATCAAAATCTTTCATCTTGATTACTGAACACTCACTCTGAGATTGTTGATCACTGTCCCTTGGACTGATTGGCTCCCCCCACCCCGGCTGGCTGGGCAACCGGCAGAGCTACAGAGGGAACCTTCTTTCCTGCCTGGCAGTCCCATGCATATATTGTAACTTCCAAAACATGTCCACATGATGTAATGTGCCAGAGAAGAGGCCACGCATGCAAGATTACCGCTTTGGGAAAGTGCTAATATCAGTTACTGGGCTACCAATGAGGTCAGTAGTTGCATCCAACAGAACAATCTCTTTCAAGTGGAAGAGTGGAACATGCTTTTTGTTTTTCCTTTTCCCTCTTCTCAACTCCATGTTGGCCTGTCTGTTAAGTACTATCAAATATTTGCCCACAGTAATGAATACTCACTTGTTGAAGAACCACCCTGTGAGACCATTGCACATTAGCAATCTCTTGTGGCTAATGAGCAACTTTTCACCACATTGATAACCAATGTGGGGATTATCCCACCTGAGGCATCTGTGACTAATGAGAACTTCTGTACTGTCTTGGGAAGTTAAACACCTGCAACACTCCTCCCTATGAATGAACCCATATAAATTCACAGACATCTCACAACATTTTAATATTATTTTTATAATATTTATTATATGTATTTTTAATACAATGTGGAATGATTATAATCGCTGGCTTTGACTGATCTCTGGTTCCCACTAGAGAGAAATAATTATTTCCTTGTGGACGTTGGACACAACACAATCTTAACAAAAGCAGGAACATAGAGCAATAAACCCCTGCCAAAGGTCATAACCCTACCCCACTTTACCTAAAATTTTAAAAACATGTTTTGTTTTTTAAATATAACTGAGGAACAGCTCTGTGTTTGTTGAAGTCCTGCTGACTTGGGCAGAGGTGTAGCTTGATACAACTAGGCCCCAATGGAGGATAAGAGTCAGGGATC